TCTTGTGTTCAGTAGTAGCCAGTGCCTTAATAAACTGAGCAAAACCCACATGGTACACTTACCACCACTTGCAGATGGCTTAGCAACAAAAATCTTGTCTTATTTTGCAAACAAAACAAATCCCATTCCCACTTTCCCCTGTCAGCTTTGCTCCATGTGGGAGCTTCATGCTGTCAGTATTCCCCGTGTGTGAGTAGCCTTCAAAAGCTCTGAGTCTTAACGATTACCCCAAAGCAGGAATTGTGGCATAAATTTCCATGTGTGAAATACATATAACAGCTTGAGTTAAACGGACCCTAAACATATGGCATTGTTTTCTGTATTTTCTAACACATGGGCAGCTTCTCACATTTCAAGTCAACTGAATGTGAGAAGACTATAGGCAAATCTTCTTGGAGGATTAACCACCAGGAAATATATTTGGTTTGTATAAATATTTGGGGTGGGATGGATGATGAGGTTAGACACTTTTCAAAGCTACACTGCATATTGCGGTGTGGTAGCACAAGGAGAGACCTGGTGGAGGATTCTGGGTTCACCTGTATCTGGACTGGCTGGGCTTCAGACCCTCTCCTCTGACACAGGCTGCAGCAGAGAGGGCAAGTAGAGCCATAAGACTAGAGCTGGAGGAGTAGGTGTTGGCCAGCCTGGTGCCTTTTTCATGTGTGACTGACAGGGACCAATGGGACACGAAAACATCTCTCTTCCTATGCCCTGATGCTGCTATCATTCTGGATGGTTTGTAACCTGTGTATAAGCTTATGTCACTTGCTCAGGGGCCACCAGGTAAAGTCCTTGGAAAAAGTCCAGAATATATCAAATGGATCTAGTCCCTAGTGACCAGATTCCACGTAGGAGTGGGGTGAGGCCCATTCTGTGGTTCAAGAGTTAAAGATGATGCAAAACCAAACATCATAATTATACTCTCCCTAGGAGAGATCAATTCTACTCACCTCTCAGGGAGCTGCACCGGAAGAGGCAGTGATATGCCTGTAGTTCTCTTCAGGTGATGATTGATAGGGAAAGGAAAAATGCAGGCTCGATAGGCATCTCTCCCCTGAGCAGCTCACTTAGCTTTGTCAGGCCTCCCCAGCCACAAGCAGCTCTGCTGTCCTCATTACTGAAATGGGCCCACCAGAGTGCCAGGGTGCTGCCCTTCCTGCTCACCCTGGGGCAAGAACACTTAGTCGGCCCATAGCTGGCCTGTAGGAGACCTGAAGACCAGGATGTGGTCAGCAGGTCTGTGGGCTCAGGACATTTTCAGGCTTGCTCTGCCTGTCCTCTCCTTCATTCCCTCCAGTGTATTAATGCACATGTAGTGAAGCGTTTAGAGGGACTTACTCATATACCCGTGTTACCTATATTTCCTCTGAGATAGGCGTCACCAATCTGCAGTTTGGGGTGAGCTGTCTACCATAGGAACCAGGCTGTTGAACTTGCCCTCACACTTCTGGGGGACAGGGAGGGAGCTCTTTTTTCAGTTGGTAAGAAAGTCCCCAAGCTTCATGTGCAGACGTGTGACCAATGAGGCCACTAAGCCCTGTCTTTGTATCAGTTAGGGGTTCTCCTGTCTTTGCACCTTCCCTGCTCCAGGCTGCATGCCTGCTGGTCACCCCCATCAAGGCTGTGCTGTTCATTCACAGTGAATGGAGATTCCCTAAACAGGGACTTGAGGACAGGGGACCCAGCCTATTTTTATTTCTCCAAACCCTTCTTCCTACCTCTAGGTGGTTGTGGCCATAAAATAATGATTCTACAATCAAAAAGCCCCTGATGTGGAGGAGAAGGGAATGAAAAAGGAAGAGGTTCCCTGGGCTGGAAACCTGTAGATTTTCCTGTGTCAAAGGGCGAGGGTGGCTTTATGAAACTAGGAAAGTGAGGTCTGTCTCCTCAATGGCAGCCTGGGAAAAGCTACAAGCCCAGGGAAGAAGGGTGCATGGGGTTTGGAAGCCAGGCAGCTCTGATTGCTGACACATCCCAGCTGTGTCTCAAACACAGAGTTGGTGTGAGAACCAACCAAAAAGTTGGTCATCAATGCATCCTTTGGATTGATTTATGACCAAAAGGGGGACGTGTGGACCAAAAAATAAAAATAAAATAAAGGCCAAATGCTAACCTGACTAGCTCAGGGAAGGCCTGCATGGCAGTTTAGCAAACTCAAAGATCTAAAGTAACCACAAAGGATGGTCTGAAATTAAAACTTTAACTAAAAGCAGTTTATAGTAGGTAGTCATGTCCTAGACCAGTGTCTTCCCTGATAAAGGTCAGTCTTTACCTTAACTGAGCCTATTGTCTTTTTGCATCGGAGATAACATCCTTGTGAAACGTCAGGGTAACTTGTAACTTCCCTTTTTCCAGACCCTGCAGGGCACAGCCAAATACATCTGGGCTCCTGGACAGAGACCATAAATTCCCTCATTGTTATTATTGTCATATTAAGTGTTGACTTTTAACTATCCTGCCTCCGTCCACCTAAGTAAAAGAAGTATATGTCTATCATTTTACTTTTTATCCAATCCCAGAGGTTTCCCCTCTTTGCTTTCTCCCGCCTCCCTAATCTATCACCAATGGATTTCCTTTAACCCACTTAGGTCTCCTTCCTTGATTGTAATGTATAAAACAAGGTGAAGAACTGCCATTCTCCGGAGCATTATCCCAATCCGTTGAGATTCTGCTTCCTGGCAATTGTCAACAGTTTGGCTCAAATAAACTCACAAAAATTCTTTTTTAAAAAAAGCCCAAACAGGAGAAGCAGTGTACAGGATAGTGCAAGATACTGCTGTGACGCTTTACGAAAGTTCATGATGCTTAGGCAGTTGAAGTTCATTGCAGAGATGCCGAAAGGGGAAAGAGGACTTGCCTTGCGAGGGGTCTGTCTTCCCTTCTCCATCCGCTCTGTCTCCCCAGGGCTGTCCCTGTCTCCCCCGCGCTCCCACTCCCTCTCGGCAGAGGGGAGAGGCATCCCGGGTCCCCGGCTCGCCCCGCGCCGCTGCAG